CACGGTCCACCTCTGCACAAGCCTTAGGACCGACCTGTCGTTTCTCGACTGTTTCTCCTTGATTGAGCGTGAGTGTTCCCCCCTGGACGTGCATGTCGCATCACCCATACCATAGTATGATATCAACCATTATTCAATTATCTCTTGGCGCTCATGGGTGCCTGAGGGATGCGGGGGGGAATGGAGGGAGGAAACGAATGGACAACGGAATGCAGAATGTGGAAAGGAATGGGGGGGAAGGAGTGGCTGACTTCTTGCGGCTGCTGGCCTCCTCTTCCACGCCGAAGGCTGGGTCGGACGCCATGGACCACAGGGCCTGCTCGACTAGCCTGCGGCGCCCACTTTCGATTATGCTGCTGCAGCTGCTGCTGCTGCTGCAATGAGATCGAGGCTGCAGATGACAGCCAGCGGAAATCTAGTAGGCACCTTCTTAACTCCGCATGCAATCACGCGAATGCCGTCTACCCCCAGGAACAACTTTATTCACCTGCGCAAGAAACTTAAACTTATCTTTGATGTTCGAAGACAACTTGTCTTGCGAACCATCCGGCGCATGGCCCAAGTGCAACCCGGGAGAGTGCGCAGGAGCGAGTTGCAATTGTCTGTAGCACGTGGTACATGTGGTGTACATGTAGTGTAGTTATCATGTAAATGTAGTGACATTGAAATGTAGATGTAGTGTAACGGTTGGGGCGAATGTAGTGTAAAAATGGTGTGGCAGTAGTGTAAATGTTTGCCACTGTGGCGCTCGAGTCCCCTGGTATATTCCCATGCGCGATTTCCAATCCCTGTGGGCCCCTCCAAAACTGGATCGATCCCAGGCGGCTCCGCCGTATTCCCGGGGGCGTGGGCGGAATCTCCGGGAGGCCCCAGCGTGCGCGCCATGCGGCCTGGGGTAGAAGCAGCGTAATTGTGTATGTAAATGCAGCGCAAATGAAGTGCCAATGAAATGTAAATTAGTGTAAATGCTGTATGAAAGGATTGTAAGTGTAGTGCACAAGGAGTGTAACTGTTGTGTATAAATGGTGTAACAGTAATGCGCATGCAATGCAACGACACTGTAAATGTCCAGCGTCTGCTGGGCCAACTCGGTGGGTCGGAAGAGCCCTTACATGTGATCTGCTGCAGGGGAAACCACCAAGGGGCACACAGCAACGAATGCCGTGCATTTGTTTATCTTCAGACGGGAAAGCACTCACCCGTTGGACTTATGATTTTCTTGTACGGAGATAGGAAAATGCATACTAGCCGCCCTTTGCAGCCTCCATCGCAGGGGGGAGGCAAGGAGCAATAATAACTGGCTAGGGGGAGAAAAGGAGGATGATAATGCCTCGCCTCCGAAGGCGGGTGTCCTGGATAAGTTACCCTCCCAGCGCTTGACCACATATTCCTCGCCGTACTGGGCTCTGCTGCCCAGCCCTTCCACGACGTGCGCCCCCTTCGGCCTGGCTGCCTCGCCTCCAGCACGCTGCTCGCAAGACCTCCAGCCGCCCCCCCCCCGTCCCTCCTCCAAGAGGGGTGGCAACTCATGGGAGCCTCCCATACCATCTTGCTGGATCTTGCTAATCGGCTCTGGTCGAGGCTAAATCCACGTTAATCGACGCCCACCGACGCTAGATTGGCGCTAAATCGTCGACTACCAGACGCTAACCGACGCTAGTGAACTGTAACACGGAGCTACTAGTGCACTCTTACACGGATTACCAGACGCTACCAGACGCTAACCGACGGCTTATGTTGCTCCCGTCGTGCTTAAGGACCACATCCCAGAAATAATTTCGGGCACCCAGAAAAGTGTCGAACCAATGTCGAACGAGTATCGCCTCCCAGGGCCCGACACGTGAAAGCAATCCCACCAGCCCTTTGGGCGTGAGTGGTTTAGAGAGCCCGCTCTGTCCTCAACCCCCCTTCTTCCCCTTCGGGGAGGGGTTTACCCCTCCCCCTACCCCCTCCCCCTGGACCTGGAGAGGGCGGGTCGAGCGTGGTCAGGGGGGTCTTTTTTGACTCCTGGAAGGGCCAAAAAACGACGACCCTCACGAGGATTCTGGCCCCGACGGGGGGAACCACTTTGGCCCTTCTGCTCTTCTTGAAAGCCAAAATCAATGCTTTTACTATGGTTGTGGCCCCATTTGGGCCTCCTGAGGGGGCCGCGCTTCTCGTCCTTCATAACAAAATCATTGATTTTACTAAGGTTTTTGGCTCATTTTGTCCTTCTCAGGGGGCAGCTCTCCTTTGCGCTTCTGAGGAGGTCGCAAGAGGCCCCAAGATGGCCCCAAGAGGCCCCCAGGAGGCTCCCAAGAGGCCTCCAAGAGGCCCCCCAGAAGCCCCCAAGAGGCCCCAAGAGGTCCCCAAGAGGCCCCCAAGAGGCCCCCAAGAGGCCCCAAGAGGCCCCAAGAGGCCCCCAAGAGGCCCCCAAGAGGCCCCCAAGAGGCCCCCAAGAGGCCCCAAGAGGCTCCAAGAGGCCCCCAAGAGGCCCTACGAGGAGCCCGAACGACTCACACCAGGACGAGGGGCCCGAACGACTCACACCACGAAGAGCCCGAACGACTCACACCACAAGGAGGGGCCCGAACGACTCACACCAGGACGAGGCGCCCGAACGACTCACACCACGAGGAGCCCGAACGACTCACACCACGACGCGGGCCCCGAACGACTCACACCACGAGGAGCCCGAACGAGTCACACCAGGAGGAGGGGCCCGAACGACTCACACCAGGATGAGGGGCCCGAACAACTCACACCACGAGAAGCCCGAACGACTCACACCAGGACGAAGAGCCCGAACGACTCACACCACGAAGAGCCCGAACGACTCACACCAGGAAGAAGGGCCCGAACGACTCACACCAGGACGAGAAACCCCAAACGACTCAAATCACGAGGAGCGCTTTCTCTCCCTCCTCCTCCGCCTCGTCCTTCTCTCGCTCCCCCCACAAGGAGGATGTACAAGGAGGCGGGAGGAAGGAGGAACAGGGGAGATATGCGGGGCCAAGCGGACACACGCCTGAAAAACACGACTGTCGGCATGCTTCGCAAGAGTTGCTGCTGTGAGATGGGCTGGTGGGGATACGCGAAGCGTAAAGAATTAAGTTTCGGTGCTTTCTTGGTGCTCGAAACTCTTTCTGGTGGCCAAGGCTCAGAAAGGTTGGAGCATTATAACACAAGGCTCCGATGACTTGAAACCGACCCCACCCCCTCCGCTCTCCGGCGCGGCCTGGCCAGCTGCTGCTCCATCTCCGCCACGTTGGCGGGGCCCGCAGCCCAGATGTCCTCGCCGCGCCGGGCGAGGCGGGTGCCCCCCGACGCGCCGCGTGGGCGTATGTTTGCTGGCGGGGGCGAGGGCAAGGGGGGGGGGGCAAGGAGGAGGAGGAGGAGGAGGAGGAGGAGGAGGAGGAGGAGGAGGAGGAGGGGGAGGAGGAAAAAGGAGGAGGGAGGAGCAGGAGGAGGAGGAGGATGAGGAGTAGGAGGAGGGAGCAGGAGGAGGAGGAGGAGGAGGAGGAGGAGGAGGAGGAGGAGGAGGCAGAAAGAGCTCGACCTTTTTCTGGGAACACTGGCCACAGCGCGGCAAGAGAGCCACCGACGCCTGGAAAAGGGGGGGCACCACCTCCTGGCAGACTCCAGGGACCTGGCCATCGACTGGCGGCCTCGGGCCGACACGCCCCCATTTCGGAGGAGCTTGGGGCAAAGTCGCGCAAGGACTAAGAAGAACATGATAATCAGGAGAGGAAGAGGAGGATACTTACACTTGCGAGACAAAGCGGACAAGCTAAATGCGCGATCGCGCGACACATGGCATCCTACCCCTTCCACCCTTCCCTTCCCGTTGCATTCAGTATTGTTGGTTATTTAACAACCCTTGCACAATGTGCAGGAACTTCAGCCTACATCGAAGAATACGTTGAGCTGGTTAGAAAAAACCGATCCTTAGAAGGATGATTTATGCTGCTCAAGAAATAGAAAGAAAAAAAAAGCCCCAGAAGAACACGGGGACGTTCATGGCGCTCTAGATGATGCCCAAGTACCTTCTTTGCTCTTTCTCAAACCACCATTGCTATGCGGCCGAGGGCCCGCAGGCGTGGGCCGCCTCCCAAGCGACTGCGCCTTCAGGCACTCAGCTGCCGTTGCAGCCCCCTCCGCTGGTTCAGCAATCTGGCGGGTTGCCGCCTGGGCCTCCGGCAGGCTTGCCGGCGCTGCTTCCTGGAGCTGGGGGCCGAGGATTTCCTGGAGTAGGAAGGCACCATCTATACACCAACACCGATCCTGGCCAGGATCACCCTGGGCCCAGGATCGGTGTATACGCCCTCCTGCCTTGCGCAAGAAGGCATATACACCGATCCAGGGCCCAGGGTGACCCTGGGCCAGGATCGGTGTTGGTGTATAGTTGGTGCCCTCCGATGGAGGAGGCGGAGGATTTCCTGGAGCCGGAGGCGGAAGATCTCCTGGAGCCGGAGAGACGGAGGATTTCCTGGAGCCGGAGGTGGCAGCGGAGGAGGACCAGGTGACCCAGGACGCGGGCATGGAGGAGACATGCCCGTCGGAGGTGCGCCGCCGCCTCCTCCTCCACCCTCTTCTCCTCCTCCTCCTCCTCCTCCTCCTCCTCCTCCTCCTCCTCCTCCTCCTCCTCCTCCTCCTCCTCCTCTCCTCCTCCCTCCTCCTCCTCCTCCCCTCCCCCCCCTCCTCCCCTCCTCCTCCTCCTCCTCCTCCTCCTCCTCCTCCTCCTCCTCCTCCTCCTCCTCCCTCCTCCTCCTCCTCCTCCTCCTCCTCCTCCTCCTCCTCCTCCTCCTGGTGGCGTCGCCGCCGCTGTAGCCACCAACGTCGCTGACGGCGCCAGCGGCCTCGACGCCGTCTTGGCCAAGCTGAAGGACGGCGGCTTGCAGAAGTTGGAGGCGTCTCCAAACCAGCCTCGGGCATCGGCCTTGGAGGACCGGTTGCAGCGGGTGGCACTCCGAGTCGGAGGTTGGCACTGCTTGACGGGGAGTTTCTTCCAGCGCGTCCAGGTGGTGGCATACCAGGCGTATGAGGAGTACCTCAAGCTCCAGCCGATGGACCGCCCGATGATCCAGCCACGGCTGAATTGGCATGACGACGCCCGCTACCTGGATATGAGTTCAAGCTCAGGGCGGTGTTGCTGGAGAGCGTGCCTGAGACTGTGCGCCGGAAGGCCTTGGCGACGCGAGCCACGAGCACGGTAGAGGTGCTGTTCGCGACGCTGGTGTGGGCAGGCCCAAGGACGCTGAAGGACAAGACTGACGTTTTGGAGGCCGTCGAGCGCCGGGGCAAGGGTCCCGTCGACGTCAAGCACGTGCATTCGTGCTTGCAGCGCTGGCAATTCGATCTTCTTCGGCTCCAGCGGCTGCAAATGCAGCCGCCCGATCCCGTCGTGCAGCTGGCAACGCTTAGGACGATGGTGGGCCGCATGATTGAGCAGTCCCACACCTTCGAGCATGGCCTGAGCGGTGCGTCCACGGCGAGTCAGCGGCAAGTGGACGAATACTGGAGGTACCTGTCTGCGGAGAGCCGTGAGATTTCGGGCACGCCGCCCCCGCAGCCTTCGCAGGCCGCTGCCGGTGATCGAGGTGTCCGTGCTCAGATCGCTCGCCTGGAGGCCGCCCTGGCTAAGGCGACGGGCTCGGCGAGCCCCAAAGGCAACGGCAAGGACAAGAGCGGCAAGGGCAACGCAAGGGAGGACAAGAACAAAAGTGGCAAGCAAGATGCACATGCCGCCGCCGCCACGGGCCTCGAGCTGTGCCGGCACTTCGAGTCCGACAAGGGCTGCAGGAACGGAGGCCAGTGCACGCGCAAGCACCGCAAGTTGGAGCCCCACGAGAACAAGTGCTTCAATTGCGGCAGCAAGCAGCACCCGAAGGCGCAAAGCACTGCGCCTTGGCCGCTCGCCGCCGCCGGGGGTCAGCAGCAGCAGCAGCAGCCTCCAAGGGCAGCTGCGGCCACTGCCTCGGAGCAGCGTCGAGCAGGCGGTCGCGCGCGCCATGCAGAGCTTCGCCGCGCAGGCCGACAGCGGCTACCGGGCAGACTGGAGCGGCCAGGCAGGCGATCCGTTCGCACCGCCCGACGCGCGTCCGCGGCCGCAGCAGCCGCAGCAGCCTGTCATGCGCATGCTGCGCTTAAATCTCCAGGGAGCCACCGTCGCCGCGTCGCGCCATGGACGCTTCAGGCCAGAGATGCTGCTGTGCGATTCGGGCGCTAGCCACGAGCTGCGGCACCTCTGGCCTGGCCAGGCCCCGCTGCCAGGCAGCGTGCCCATCAATCTAGGCCTTGCCGTGGGGCAGGCCTCTGGCGAGGTCTACATGTCGGAGGACCAGGTGGTGTACGCCGTGTCGTCGACGTTGCTGCAGGCCTTGTTCCCCATCTCCGTGTACGTCCACGAGCTGGAGGTGAGCATGCTGTGGGGCCCTGCTCGGGCGGCCATTTCGCTGCCCGGCGGCCGCGCCATCGAGCTTGTCGTTGACCGCGACGGTTCGGTCTTCATCTCGGAGGTGCAGGCCGAGACGCTCCGAGGCATGCGCCGCCTGCGCCGCGCGCAGATCGGCGCGTCCAGGTTTGTGGACTGTGTGCGGGCCGCGGTGGTGCAGCAGAGCCTGGAACAGCACCGCGCTGCTGGGCATCCGCACTTCCGTCCTGATTGCGCGGAGTGCCGTCTAGCCGCTGGCCGGCATCGCCCCCACTGGCGCCTGGGCGCCAGCGCGCGGCCAAGCGGGCAGATGTCGGCGGACATCTCAGGTCCGCATCCGTGGCCGTCGGCTCTGCAAGAGGGCTGCCCTCGCCGGGCCCGCTTCTTCTTGCCGTGCGCGTATACTCTGTCTTCGCCGTGGCCGAGCAGGAGGCGGCGGCCAAAAGCGAGCGCCTCGCGCGGGACAGCTCGAAGATGGAGGTGGGCAAGGAGGATGGCAAGACAGACCCCGGAAGCCCCAGGGGGTCGACCAGAGGGCCTGCCGGCGCGGTCGCTCAGCGGGCGGCGGGTTTCGAGGCGGTGGCATTCGCAGCAGTGCTAGTGCCAGGCGGCGTCGACGGCGAGGTGATCGAGCAGCTCGTCGCTGGTGGACCTGCCAGGCGATGCGGCGAAGGGCCGCCGCACGTGGAATGACACGCGTCCGCTGCAGACCCAGGCGGCCGACGAGGTGGGGAAGGCTCTCGAGCTCATCATCGCAGAGGTGAGCCTGGAGTCCCACCAGCCCTCTGGGCGTAGGTGGTCTAGAGCAGATCCTCTTCCACCCCTCCCTCTTCCCCCTTGGGGAGGGGTTTACCCCTCCCCCTACCCCCTCCCCTGGACCTGGACGGGGGGGGCCGCGGGTAGTTAGAGCGTCCCAGATGGCCCAAGACGGCTCCAAGAGCGCCTCAGAGAACCCAAGATGAGCTCCAAGATGGCTCAAGATAGCGCAAGATCGCTCGAGATGGCTCCTAAGATGGTTCCAAGAAGCCCAAAGACGGCCCCAAGATAACTCCAAGTGGCCAAACAGCTCCCCAAGGAGGCCCCGAAGAGGCCAAAATCGTCCCAAAACCTAAGGAAAATCAATGATTTTTGCTTTCTCGCCTTTTCGCTTCCGATGGCCATCCGAGGCCTGGAGATGGTTCCAAGATGGCCCAAGAGGGCCCCAAGAGAGCCCCAAAAGAGCCCCAAGACGGCCCCAAGAGCGCCCAAGAGCACTCCAAGAGCGTTCCAAGAGGGGTCCAAGAGGCGATTTTAGGGGCTTCCGAGGGGGGACGCTAATTAAACCCCCCCTCTTGTTTGATCGATCTCCTCCAAGATGGCCCCAAGAAGCGCCCAGGAAGCCCCAAGAGGTCCCAAGATGGCCCCAAAATGGCCCCAAGAGGCCCCCAAGAGGCCCCCCGGAGGCCCCCAAGAGACCCCCAAGAGGCCCCAAGAGCCCCCCCAGATGCACCCAAGATGCTCCAAGAGGCCTCGGCGAGAATGCCTAATCATTGATTCTACACAGGTTTTAGCCACATGGAGGCCTCTTGGGGGGGGGCACGGATTAAGATGACTCCAAGAGCGTCTGGGAGAGCCCAAAATGACCTCCAAGATGGCTCAAGATATCCCAAGATGTCTCATAATGGCTTCCTCTGTGTGCTGCCCACTTCTCTGATCGAGGCAATTCCTCTGGGCATCGTTTCTGGATGGGCTGGTGGGGATTCGCGAAGCGACAACAATTTTAGACGCGGTGCGTCTTTCGACTACATGCCGACGGTGCTCGCGAGCTTTCGGGACCTCAATCTCGTGAACGAACGAATGGCAAGGCATGAGATCCATGTCACGAGCACGCCTGGGTGACCCCAATAACAATCCGCGTGCTCAGAAGGGCATCGGGGTCATCATGCAACGCGCCCGCGCCATGTTGGTCGTGCTGGAGCCGGCCGACCGCGAGCAGCTGTGGCCCGCTGCGGTGCAGCACGCCGCCGCGCTGCAGAGGCGCGAGGCGCAGGGCCGCCCGACCTTGTGCCCAGCCTTCGGCAGCATGGTTGCGGCGAAGATCAAGCAACCGGTGGTCTTCGGCTTCGCGCCGCGCGCAGCTGACAGGGTGTTCGTGGGCATCGCCGACTACGTGTCGCAGTCGGCGCTGGTGGGGTACAAGCAGACCAAGCCGGGCGTGACGAAGTGGGTTTTCGAGACTTCGTCCAGCTTCATCCCGCACCCGCCGCCGCCACGCCGTTCGCTGGTCGAAATGTCAGGCGGCGCCGCTGCGGCCGCTTCCGGCGAGGCGGCATCCGACCGGCAGCCAGGTCTTGCAGCAGGAGCTCAGGAGGAGGACGCAGCAGGAGCTCAGGAGGAGGATGCAGCTGGCACCAGCGGAGCTGTTGACAGCGATGGACTTCGGATCGATCGGGCCGACGGGGTGATCACGTGCCCTGCGTGCCACGGTGCCCACCAGGCTCACAAGCGCGATGATACATGCAGGAGGGGCCCTGCCCCAGTTGCGCCAGCTTCCGCAGGCCAGCAGAGGAGGCGCTACCGCGGGAAGCAGCCGGCCAGAGATGTTCCCGGAGAGGCCTCCGGGGACTCCAGGCTGCCGAGAGCCGCGGCGCTGGGGAAACGCTTCGTGGACTTCAAACCGACCGTGCAAGGCGCGAGTGGTCATCGAAAGGATCTGCCGTGGACGCCAGCGCTGCCCGCCGCGACCCGCGCGGCCGGGAGCGGCGCCGACGACGACGGCATATGGCATGGCCGACGCGTCTCTGCCCGAGTTCCGCGAGGTGCTCAAGGACTCGGGGATGCAGCCCGTGACCGGCCAGGAGCTCCGGCGTGCCGTGGGAGCCGAGAGGGGGGAGTGGTTCCAGGCGATGGCGGCCGAGCTGTCCAGCTACAGGTCGAACGCGGTGTTCGACGAGCTGCCCGCTGCGGACCGCGGCGGAGTGAGGGCCAGCGAGATCCTGCCGACGAAGGTGGTCGCAGGCATCAAGCCTCCCAAACCGGGGGACGCCCAGCAGAAGAGGAGGAAGAAGATCAGGGGCGTGGTGTGCGGGAATTTCCAGGCGAAGCAGCCCGACGAGGTCGTCTACACGCAGAACGTCGAGATCTCCAGCGTGCACCTGGCCCTGGTAGTGGCCGCTCGGTGCAGGCGGAAGCTCCAAGCTCTCGACGTGAGCACGGCCTTTCTCAATGCCCCTCTTCCCCCCGAGGCCGGTCGCGTCGTTGTGCGTCCTCCCAAGCTCTTCGTCGATTTTGGCCTCGTTGGACCAGACGTGCTTTGGGTTGCGAACGAGGGGATCTATGGACTGCGGATTGCCCCCAGGGCTTGGGGTGCCAAGCGTGACAGCGACATGCGGGCAATGCAATTCTTGGTCGATAGCGTGCCGGCGAAGCTGGTCCAGAGCAGGTGCGACCCCAGTGTCTCGATGTTCGCTGCGGCGGAGCCGAAGCTGGAGTCGGACCGCCTCTTGCTCGGCCTCCTTCTCGTCTACGTCAACGATTTCCTCTGCTTGGGGCCCGACGGGGCGTTGGACGAGCTGGAATCGCTGCTGAAAACTACCTGGACATGCTCTGTCCAGAGCCAGATCGGCTGGGAAGCTCTGGGGAAGGTGACCTACCTGGGGTTGGAGATCGGGGCGCGAGGGTCCGAGCTGATCGTGCACCAGGGTCCCTACCTGGACGACATGCTGGCCAAGTGGGGCCTGGGCGACGCCAACGGCACGCACACCACCGCGCTCGAGCCCGTTCCGCCTCCTCGCACGCCGGAGGATGGCGACGCGGACCCAGCAGCCGCTCGCGCGGCCCAGTGGATGGCAGGAGGCTTGCTGTGGCTTGCTGCGAGGTCGCGCCCCGACGTGTCTCTCGCGACTTCGCGCCTCGGCAGCTTTGCATGCAGCCATCCCGACTGGGCGCAGCGGCTGGGCAGGCGTATCCTGCGGTGCTTGATCGGCACTCGTGGCTTCGCCCTGGTGATCGGCTGGGGCCCCGACGACCCGAGTGCCAGCTACGCCGAGCCGTCTCCCTCAGCCTGGGCGTCTTCGCAGACGCTGGCTTCGAGACGGAGACCGATCAGACGGGAGTGGCGATTTTCTGCGGTGGCGCAGATGATCGACTGGCGGAGCCAGATGCAACCGCAGGTGGCCCGCAGCACCGCCGAGGCAGAGATCGCTGCCTTGAACGTGGGCGTCACGATGCTGGAGGGCGCGGAGGCGACCATTGGCCAGCATCGCAGTCGGCGCATGTGGCTCTACGCCGACGCTCTAGGGTGACAGCGCCGCCAGCCTCCTCATCGCCGAGGGGCAGGGCAGCTGGAGCACGCGCGCGCTTGCTAATGGAGCCGCAGCGTTGCGAAGCCGGGTAGGCATGGGAACGCTGCTGCTCAAGAAAGTGTCCTCGGAGGAGCAGCGGGTCGACGGCTTGACCAAGGTGTTCGCCGCCGCCGTGATGGGCCGCATCTGCGCCCACTTCGGCCTGCAGCTGATGGTCGAGCTGCTGGACCGTGCCGCGGCTGCTGCCGGTGCGCGCCGCCTGCAGCCGCCAGCGCGGCGAGGGGATCACTGAGCATCCTGGAGCGCCGTTGCCATTGATTTTTCATCTCGGTTTCGGGCCTCCCGTTGGGGACCAGCCACAGGGAGTGCACGTGCCCGAGTCCTGGGCCATTGCCGATTTGTTTTTGCGTTGGCTCCGTCATTGCATGTTTTCCCGTCGCTGCGCGATTGCATTTTCGAGTGTTGCCGATTCACCCCCATGCCCCTGCGAGCCATCTGCCTCGCGAAGCTTCGGCCGCTCCTGGCTGGGAGGGCCGAAGAGGAGGAGCCTGGCTCAAGGGAGCATCGGCATAGCATTAGAGGTTTCCGACGGTGTCGGAAACCTCGGATGTCTGTCATATTTTAGCGAGGACGATTACTAAACTCATCTAGCTTTCACACCTCCGCCTCGCGATGATCCAAGCGGCAATTGTTCAACCCCCAAAAAATGACAGAACAGCTCAAGTGACCGGAAAACGTTTCCCAATTTTCCCGCGTCGACTTTGTAGAGGAACGGTCTGGACGGGCCTTGGATTTTCAGAGGTGTGCTCAACGTGTTCCGTCAGAGCCCTGCCGGAACACGCTGGCGACCACCCGTGCTGTGCTGTGGTGCGTGAGGCATAGCATAGCATGGCGCATAGGTGCATAGGCCTAGCGTCCGGGACAGGTATATGATACATTTGCTGCCGCTGTGTTGCATCGACTCTTGAATACGCCATA